TTAGACACAAGCAACCTTCAGTGACTAATATGGAAGCTACATAAGGCCAATTAACATTTTGAATCTGATATGGAAAATTTCAGTCAAAATATATTAACAAATTATATTACTATTATGTGGGTTATAAAATTAAAACAAATATTTTCCTCTTTGGAAAACACTCATTGTCTAATTTCAAAATCATTACTTTATTTAACTGCCTAAATTCCCAGTGTGAGTTATTTTTCATAATGCCTTTTTTGTTTTGAAAGTTGGTACTTCTGTACGCATGGACCACCATTGTAATCTCCTGGGTTATGGCACTGCAAAAAGATGCAGGCCTGTTATCTAGCTAGTGGGACTAGAAGAGGTCATTTGGTTGCCATGGTAAAAAAATAAAAGCTTTGAACCTATTTCATTCAGCCATTGTTGATGGGCTAATTCCCACAAGCACATAGGAATGCATTTTTTCTCCATAAGATGCTCACTTTTTCTAGTTCCTGCCTTGGAACACATCTCTCATCAGGATGCACATTAACACACTCTGACATTAAGCAGTGAGCTTTTGGCTTATTCTGAAAATATGTTGGAATGTTAATGTTTAGAAAAAACATTAAGCTCTTTCAGCCCTTTGCCTGGAAATTGTGGAGCATAAATATTCTTTTACCTGTCTATATTTCAAAGTCCTTTTAGCAGGATAAAAAAAAAAATAAAACAACTTCATATCAATTGAATGAATAGTACTAGCTTCATGCCTACCAAGTATTTCTTGGTATTCTGAGGGATTTTGATTGTATTGAATGTTTGATGGATCAGGTACTTCAGGAATATTTATGTAACTCATGCACTTTTATATATTTCCAAGGAAGGCTGGAATTGTAACTCAGTGGCAGAGTACTGTACTTGAGGCAAGGACCTGGGTTCAAATCTCACTAAAAAAGTATAATGATAAAATAGTTCCAAGGAATTAGTATTGTTCAATTTATATTTGTAAGTATTTATGCATTCATATTAACTAACTTTTCAATAATTAACTGAAAATTCCTTTAGATCACTGCAAATAATGTTTTTCCACATGTTATTCATACTAATTATTTAAACTAAGGATAGCAAACCTCCTGAGGGTCAATACAAAAATCTCTTAATCTACTGATTAAATGAAAGAATCCTTGATTCATTGGAGATGTGAGGTCCTTAAAAATAAAATTTTCAATATATTAATATGTCTGTACAAAGAGGTAAAGGACTGATCCATCTGCTGTGTTCACATGTTTGTTTATGTTAAAAAAGAAACAAAGGATGGAGGGAGGGAAAAGAGGAGGGAGGGAAAAAGATGGAAAAAATTGAAAAAAATGTAACTAGAGCTTTTGCAAATGGGAAAGGGACCAAGAGTTGGAAAGTTCACGGAGGGAAGAGACAGGGGACAAAGAAAAAAAAAAAAGAATAAAGATGTATTTATTATGTTCATGCCCCAACTCTCCACAACAAATGTAATCATTAGGTTCTGCAAACATGTACTAATAAAAAAAAACATCACTGTATATTTATTGGTTGTGAGTGAAATTATGTAAAATTTTACTATGAAAATATTTTTAGTACGATGCCTGAAGACCAACTGAAAATATCATTTCTCTCAAAGCATCTGTGAAATGGGCAAAAATAAATTTTTGAATATTCAATGGTAACATCAGAACAATGTGCCCCTAGAAAGTCAGAATTCTAAAGAAGTTTGTAAAAAAATTGCAAAGCTTATGGGAATGGGTTGAAGAAAATATTTACTAAGATTCACGAATTTTTGTTTAACTCTAACAACAGGTACAAAAAAAGGGGGCTTATTAAATGGCACTGGACCTTCCTCAAAGAGTTCCATTGCCGGTCAAGGCCCAGGCACTGGAGAGGAACTCGGAAGTCACCGAGAAGCTGCAACTTCAGCAGCACTGCGCAAAGGTAGTTGTGTTTATGAAGTGAGTCACCGGGCTTCACCTGTAATGTGAAACAAGAGAAGGGAGAGAAAGTTTCGCTGCAGCCAGACACTTAGAGGTGAAGGAGACAAAGTAGAAATACAAACAGGTTCCCAACTAACTTCACACTTGAAATAAAATATGGGAGCTAAAGTGACAAACAGCTGCGAATGCCTGTGATGTGCTTACACGTATAGAAAAACCTTTCCCCAAACATGAGGGTCAGATGAGTGCTGAAGAGGTGTGCACGGGTCACCAACAGCATCTCCTACACCATGTACCTTAATTTTCAGAATAGAGAAATGATTAATTTATCATGTTTAAGTCTGAGGGAAGCCCTATAAAAAACCTTCTCTTTTATATGCTAGTATGAACTAATAATACATTTCTTAAAATGAGTCTCCTTATGCTTACATTACCACAAGTGCTTGAAAGCACAATTTTTGAGCACATAAGGTCTTAGAGACATAGGGTACTGACTGAAACATTCCTCATTCCTCTGCCAAATTCAGCAATAGTACAAGTCATGCAACAAGTGGGGATGAAAAACATTCTCTCCCAACATCTTACTTTCATCGTGTGATGAAAACTCAATTAAAATGTACTGAGATTACTTGAAATACTTACCTTTTTATATGTCTCTATCTTTAGTTTTTAGTATATGTGCCCTAGAGAATGGTCAATATTTTATTTCATGTTAATAACTGATTATATAATTTAATTT